ATATGTATGTGTGTGTGTGTGTGTATATATATATAAAATCCTGGCTCCATTACGATATTTGAATTTTTCGCGGTCTAGGGGTAACGCGACTAGGGGCTATTGATTAAACGACAAATAATTTAGCAATAATTTATTGTTCTAGTGCCTATAAATACTTGTATGTTTATAAAACCGTAGCACACTAAATTAATTTTTAATTTATTTTACTCTGTACTACTATAAAAGATAATTATTGTAAAAATAATCATTCTTGCCAATGCTGTAGTCTTGTGGAGATGTGCTATTCTATTTTCCTTTGCCGATGTTAATCGTAATGTATGTGAGAATGCGAGCGAACAAAGGAAGAAACGTATCACGCAATATTCGCTATATAAGAAAGACTTATAAAGCACTGCAGAAAGAAATAATAAATATGACGTTGATGATACTAAAAGTGACATTTCATTCTTATTATAATAATAAAATGCATGCATCTACATATAAGTAAAATTAATTTTGGAATAAAAGTGGACTTTACCATGCTTGATTGTGTGACTCATAATAACAGTAAATTCAATTCACATAAAATCGATTTTCTTTTCGAAATGATGAATTTTTTTTTATTAAAATAGATTGCTTTTACCGGCCATGCTGGTCATGCCAGTCGTGTCGGAAAATTCGAATTCAACTGCATTAAAATAGATTTAATTATCTACCGTTAAGTAATCCATAAAAGCTTTATCTTTCTTTCTCAACTGCATAACACTTTTACAAAAAAAGTACAATTTCAGCTTTAATCTTTAAGTAATTCTTGTTTATTCAAGTGTTCAATTCCCAATTTAAGTGTATTTTTTATTATAGTTTTTAATATACACATATACACATGTTTTTAATATACACATAAGTTTTTTTAATCATACATATTATTCTGTTAAATAATAAATGTCATTCAAATATCTTAGAATTATAATTAATTCTATCAAACCGTTCAATGTATCGTACATTGATGGGGCAGAAGATTATGTATACAATTCAGTTTCAAGTTTTCATAAACGATGTGAAAAACAAACTTATTCATGTAGTGATATCATAGACATTTATACAAATATTTGAAATCTATTCAAAATTTGATAAATATTACTTTATATAAATACGATTTTCTTTCTTTATTTATACACATAATCGAATATAATATTCATGAAAAAAATTTGATTGTGAATGTCGGATTAAACTTGATTACAAATTTTATAATATTAAAAATGGAATATTATTAAAACGTATTGAAATTGCATACGCAATCGTTGAATGTTTTGAATTGAAACGAATTAATGTTGTCTTTCTAAGGCCCGATTTTACCATTGTAAAATTAATTTTAATTCGATTTAACTTACTACTTATTTTTTTAATTTACAGAACTAGAAGAAGATAAAAGATAAATTGAATCGAGATTAAAATTAATCTTACATTGGTAGAACTGGGACTTAGCAAATTGCAGTCAGATTGGATTATAGTCGATTAAAATGGATTATGTTCTAATCGGTTTTAATCAAAATTTTCCGGTAGGGAATGTGTTGATATTAATATTTATTGCGCTGTACAGTACCAAAAGTTAAACAGATTACATATCTATCGTACATTAATTAACAATAAAAGCAACGTATTGTTTTTAACTTTGAACATTTAGATAAAAATATATTTAAACGATGATATAATACTATCATTTCATAACTACCATTATTTGATCTTCATTAACTTTGTTAAACGATGAATATCTTCAACAAATTATCGCGCTTTCTTTCCATTATGAATTCTTTGATTTTTTTTCTGGCTTTGGCATTAATAAATGTTCTACTAATATTATTTAATTAAAGACACATGTAACAATAAGTATATTATTATAGAGCACGAAAATTGCAAATAACAGGTACAATGTACTTATTACAGTTATGTTCTGATTTCATGTAATTTAATCCCAAGCAGAACAACAAGTCACGATAATGTCAAAATGACATTAAAATTAGTTGGAAATGATGTCAAAATGACTTTTAATGAAGTCATTTTGACATCATTTTGATATCATAATGACTTGTTCTGCGTAGGATAAAATTTTTTGATGGCTCGATTACAGAATTCATATCTTTTCTACATAATTGGAGGGAAAAAGACCGGTCTTCCCTTTCAATCTTCCATGCCACCAACCGCCTTCATCTAAAAAAAATATTGTCAGCTGATTTTTTGACACTTAAATTGTAAAAGCAAAAATTATTATTTTTTTATAAATATAATCGGTTTCACACTTTATTTTTTTTATATCAGTGACGAAAATATTAGTAAAAAATTATACACATTACTAACTTTATTCCCTTTTTACGTATACCGCTGCTAAATTTATTCTCATTTATTTATGCAAACAAGCTCGGATTACAATAACTCACGTTCTTTGAGTACTTCCACGATGTCGCCTTCCTTGAGCCCTAACTCATCCAGATCCTTCGGCTCATAGTCGTATAAGGCTTTAACTTTTGGTAAACTTGGAAGTGCTGGTTTCTGACGAGGTTTCTGAGGAGGTACTTTTTTGTTGGCTACTGCATACGCGGCATTGTCTTCCTTCTTCTCTCGTTCAAGCGCGTTGTTCATTCGCTTCACATTCCATTCTTGGGACGTTTGCATTTCTTTATTGAGGTGACCAGAAACCTTGCTATTATATTCACCATTAAGAGGTGGTAATCTGAAGCCCATAGGCTCGTTCGGTGGCGGTGGCTCCGTGGGCGGTGGAGGAAATTTGAGTAAACCTTTAAATTATAACTTATTCTATCTAGGTTCATTTCTTTAATATTTGTTTTTCAATGAAATTCATAGAAACTTACCACGCGGTTCAGCATTGGGATTATTGATAAGCATGCCTCTTACGGCGATCTGTTTGTCTCGCAACTTGTTCACATTGTTCATACCATTTTTCATGTCCTTTCTAAACTGCGCAGGTTGTACATTTGGGCGATTCGGTGGAATGTTCGGTCTACTGTTTGAAGTTGCTGCTGAAGGAGTTATCACAGATCTTGCGGCTGCCATCGGACTAAGAGGAGAAGTCCCGGTCATAATCGTCTGATTATTCTGAGTTGAGAGGGCTGAAGTTATTAGATCGCACACTTGCGGCGGCAAGATGTTATCCACAGACATAGGAGGTTTCCGTCGATACGCCATCGGATTAGGTTCTACATAAAGTTTTATATATTTTTTTAGTTATTTGTTCAGATATTAAATATCCCGAAGTTTACGCGTGTAAGATTGAAACATCAAGAATTATTATCTATTGACTCAAAACTAATCCAACTCAAACTTACTTATTGTATTCGGTAAACCTGGAGTGATGCTGACATTGAGTATTTTACTAAACGGTTTTAAAATTTGTGTATTATTGTGAATAACATCATCGTTATCAACCGTTTGCGTAAACTTTATATATCTCATTCCACCTCCACCCCAGCCTTCTTTCTTTATTTTAAACTGCAAGCTGGAAGGAAATAGTTTTATTTTCAAACCTATAATGTATTATGTAGCAGCGCTGATGATATATGAAACATAAAAAAAAAATAGTCGTACTCGTTGCTAAATACGATATTCAAAGGATGACCGGTATCTTCCAGATACTTTTTGCTAAGAGTATACAAAAATTCCGTTTTGAATACTGATTCTAATACGCTAGCGTAGTCTTCCTTTACGTGGATTATTATGAAATTGTCCTGGAACAGAAAATATCGTTAAAATGTCTTTAACTAGTGTACTGCTAGCATAAAGAATCAGCATAATAAAATAATTACTGTTAGCGTGCTTAATGATACGTAGCTGATTTGATTAAATGATAGTTTCCTTTTAATAACTTCGATGGATTTGTCCTTGGAATCGTTCTTTATTTGCTCTCGACCAATCAAATAGATGCATTTCCCGGTAAGGATGAGATCTACTCTGCACGTCTGTTACATAAATCACACTTAAATTTTAAGCTTAAAACTTAAGGAGTTAAGAAATTAAGAAAACTTGTGATGTATTATGTTATTAAATAGATTTCTTCCAAATTACAATAATGACATGATTTTTGCAGAATACAAATTAAAGGAGAGTTTAAATTGTTAATGACTTAATATTTTAATTTTAATTTTAATATCTTCACCTTGAATCTTCTATTGTACTTGTTCACGACTTCGGCGAAAAATACTTTCTCCCGTCTGCCAATCAGACTCATCATCTGCGGCTTGTCTTCCAGTCCTATATAATCACCGAAAAAATTTCTGTTCAAAGTCTCGCGTTTCCGCTCTTTATGGCCGAAGAGAAGATCAGCGGCTTCCTGTATCTGCTGCTCTTGTATCTTCTGGGCGAAATACTTCTTGAATGCTTTCTGAATAACTTGCGCATGCTTATTGTAATTCCGCTCACGTGCTTCCTCCAGCATGAAAAGCTAAAAGTTACGACTTATATTCATTTTTATCACCGTAAGTTAACTTCAATCTTTAATTTGTGAATTAATTTACGTATATCTTCTTTTCTCTAGTTTTAAGAATTAGAACAAAGTGAAGAATAAATTAAATCATGTACTATTAGGAACACACCAAGTAACATTTTGACATTATGAAAGTCAAAATAATGATTTTTTATTGCGAAACGTGACCGTTTATTAATATTTTTTAAGAGTTAAAATAAAGTCATTTTGATTTTTCCTTGGACAAGATTAAACCTTAATAAACATTGGTAAAAATGGACATTGACTAATTACTTATTAAAATTACTTATTAAAAAAAGACAATTTTCTCAGTCTTTGAATAATGTTTTTTACCGGAATTTTTTTTTTGTCATCTGAAGAGAACCTAAATATAAGGTCGAAACATGTAATATCTTGTAGTTAGTATTGTACTTTGTAGCGTTTTAACTTTTTTACCTTCTACAGTTCTTTGTGATATCTATCTTCAATTATACTTATGCTAAATAAATGGAGATTTTTTATTTTTTCTGACTCTTATTAGCCTTTTATATCTCGTTGTACTAAAAATAACAGTACTTAAAAATAACAGAGATAGAACTCACAGTTTCAGGCGCTTTAATAAAGAGCTTGGTTCTGCCGAGCTGATATTGCGATCGATCGATATGAAACCTCCCCAATATCCATTCGATGCCTTGTTTCTCATCGCCGGGCCAACGAGGCCATGTTTCTTTCGTGAGAATCGCATATCTATGTAGAAATTTGGAGAATGGTCTTCTATAAGCGAAGCCGGCTCTACGCACTCTAATATTTTCTTTCAGACCTAAATACTCCACCTACAATATATCATCGGAAAACTGCGTAATTATTATTATTCATCAATCCACTGCAAGCAAGTTATACGCATCGAGTGTATATGTTTCAAGTAGTTTTAAAAAGATGGATAATATCAATGATTTCATTTGAAAATTAAAACATTCACGAAAGGATAACAGACGATTTTTATACGGTAACTAATTAAAAATGTAAAATCGTGTATGTTGGACATACACGATTGTATTTCTAGAACCATTTGGAACGTAAATTTGTCATCGACGAGATACTATTAAAGTCAATCTTGAACAAATTTTCGTCTTTACATAGAAAAGGTTCCCGGAGGTAATTGAAGAACGCTGACATCATCAATGATATAAATTTCCGATTATTAACATTTATTTCCTCAAATTTCCGATTATTATTCAAATATTTGGATAATAAATTATTGAATTCATGGTTTTTTATTATATAAATGCTCCGTAAATAAGTATGTATATACTTGCAATGCTATAATATCTTATATATTGCCGCAAAATTACAATTTTTTTCTCTACAGTTATCATTTGTATTGATAATTATTCAACTCGAACAATAAACATTAAAGTGACAGTTTAAAATAAAAATCGAGTATTATCGAGTTTTATATATACATATATACGTACATGTCTATGAAACTAATGAACCATGAAATTACTACAATACTATCAATTTCTTATACTTAATCACTTAAATTTCAACAGGAATGCGAACTTCTATAAGAATATAGATCTTTAATAAAAACCTCGTCAGTAATTTTGTATATTCAAACAAGTGCTATTCTAGCATGAATTATGTCGTATTGACTTTCTCGTACAGAAGAAATTTCAATGTTATCCGAAGAAGGAAGGAAGGAAGGAAAGAAGCATTATGTATAATTGCTCTAGACATATATGTCTGACATACTTCGCTAGAATGACACATTGTCGAGCTAAGGCTGAGAGATAAACCAGACTGTATATAGAAAATGCCTTTTCTCTTTTTTTCTCAAACTTTATATTCTTGAGGTTTAATTTAAACAGATATATGTATATTATCCAGGTGACTTTTGAGTAAAGGCACGAAGTAACATGTTTGACGTTACCAAATTTAAGTGGTAAACGAATGCAAATAATACTAGACAATTAAATTACAGTACCTGATGCTTGACTCTCAGATGATCCCAATCGCGCGGTTTCTTCGTTTCATTCGGTTTGATGCACCGGATGTAATGCGGCGTGCACTTTATCAGCTGACCAACCAAGCGACTGGCTTGATTTCTGATTTTACTGCCTGCGGTGGTTGGTCTGGACTTAAGAGTTTTCGTTTTACCTACGGTATTTTCTTGCGGATAGAGCTTGCGCACTAAAGAACTGTAAGATAAAATCTTCCTTTTTATTTACCATTTCAACTACAATTGTTTTAACAATACTATTAACGAGAAAAATTTAAAACATGGATAATTGCAGAAAGATATAAACAAAATTCGAAAAAGAGGTAAGAGATAAGTTTATTACTAATTTAACTAAACTTCTTGAGAATTCTTGTGATTTCTGGTTATATCGATTTATACGCGATTTTTGCGAAATTTTACGTATACAGGTTTTATGTAAACTATGTAAATTTATCGATGATTAGAATTACGTTAAATCATCGAGGACTTATTTACGTAATCGTCTTCGTCAGGTGGACAAGAAGCTGATTATAAATATTATAAATATTAATTAATGCTATTCTGCATCTATTTGAATTATAAAAAAATATAGAATAATGCAATTAATATCAAGTATATTGAAACAATCGCAAGTTTTAAAAATAAGAATCTTCATGTGTATGTTATTACTTAAACTACATGTGTATGTGTTTACTTCTTCCTTCGTCCGCGAGATTTTAGATACTCAATTTCTTCTTCGATCTTGTTCTCTCGTCAAATATTTTAAATCGTTAGAAAATAAGCGCGAGTCTGTTAATCCTCGTCAAGTCGTAACTTATATACGAGCACGCTTTCAGGATAATTTGTCACGCGGACACAATCGACAGTCGTATGCTAACGGCCTTCGGGATCGCTTACTTTGTGCTAGTCTGCATTAGCTCGATCAGGTCCAAGAAAAGGACGTCCCGATTCTTATCACAGAACCCATCGACAGAGTAGGATACTACACCGGCGTAATGGAGAATTGCGAAACCATCACTGTTGTCTTGGAAATGGGCGTGTTGCTTAGCTGCTCTCGCCAGTTTCTGCGCAATATTCGATAATTTATTATATATTTTACATATTCAAATAGAGCATTAAAATATCGTAACAATATATCGCAAGAGCATCACATTACGACCTTATTTGTCGCTTACAAAATTATTTTTCAAATGACGTCATGACAACGTGCTATAATATCAACCTATCATAGTTGATACAGTACGTTTAGACCGCTAACTATACGATAGGTGGCCTCGTTTAATATATAGATGAATATAAGGACGCAGGATCGTATAGGTAACGATCTAAACTCTTAAACGGACAGTGCAAAGGGCAACCGTTATGTCTTAATTAGAACTTAATTAGATTCTACATTTTACTTGGGTATAATATTAGGTTGTTCGGAAAGTAATTTCGTTTTTTCTTATGAAAATGAAAGACGATTTTCAATCAGACGCGTTTCAAATGATCATGAACGGTCGAGTTCGATAAATTTAATCTCTCAGCGATCTCACGAGTTGTTATTCGCCGGTTTGCATCAATTAATGCCTTTATTGTGTCTTCATCAGCTTCAACTGGCCTTCCAGAACGTGGTGCATCTTCAACATCCAAATTGCCGGATCGAAATTTTGCAAACCAGTTTTGGCACTGGCGTTCTGTCAATACATCTTCTCCATACACATCGGATAATTTTTTTCTTGCTTGAACAGCATTTTTACCTTTTCGATAGTAAAAAAGTAAAATATGCCGAAAATGCTGCTTTTCACTTTCCATATTTGATAGGGCACCAACCAAAAACTACTGCGTAGAATCAATCGAACTTTTTTCACAAGCAAGCCTTGCTATATCAGCTGTCAAAATATATAATGATTATGCGGCTTAAGTGTGAAGTTGGCTGTGAAAAATACAATTAAGTCCTCTGTTGGGAAAAAACGAAATTACTTTCCGAACAACCCAATATATATGAATTCGTTAAATACGTTACAGATACGTGTCTGATACCTTTTTCAAGTCAGCGTCGGCACCCGTGCTGCCACCATGCAACGTCGCGCACACGTCGTCGAGGACCAAGAAGAGACCAGGTGGTTTTCTACCTTCGAGAAGCTCCACCACAATGGCGTTATTGAAATAATCTATCGGCGTCCACCTGATGTTCTCGGAAATGTATTCTTCCTGAAACGAAGCAGAATTCGATCCTATGGCATAGAAAACAAAATTACCCCGCGTCAATCAATTGTCTTTGTAATAAGAGCAGAGACCAAACTGTCAGCTGGAGTAACTTTTATTTACTTGGCTTACAAAAGAGCGCATGTTTTGTTGTACTCATCCTGATTACGTAATAAGCATAAGCCGATAAGTGTTACAAAACTCGAAGCGCGTCATTACTTGGATAATTCAGATCGTCGATCTAACTTTCGTGGAAGATATGCGCAGGTTGCAAGATGCTTGCTCGCTCGTTACATACATCGAAAATACAGGCTTAATTACGTGTGCCGCTGGCACCGCCGGATATATCGCACATGTACAGGCGATTTATATCTCGCTTAGCTCCCGAGGCGATAGAAGGGAAAGGCGATAGTAATAACGCGATTGCCGGCGCTTTTAAAATCGCTTTCCATTTCAGCCCGAGCTAAACCTGAAGGTGCACCTCACCGCCGGCTATATGATCAACCGGAAAACCGGTCGTCGTTATTTCAGCCCTTCCCCCATCCCGTTTTCGCCCGTTTCCGAATACATTTGATTTGTCCCCAACAATCGCACAATCTTCGCGCGAAACGTTGGATGAGAAAATATTAGGGGCTTTCCAGCGAGACCATAGTGATTATTTCATCTTTCGATTACATTATTATCTCATCTTTGTTGAACATTGCTAAACAACAAGGATGTAATAATCCACTGTGTTATATTGTGGGCACTTTCTATTTAGTGACATAAGTCGACATAATTACACATCACTTTGTCTTTCTTGCCTTCATCCTTTGAGTAACAAAGGGTGTCTTCCAGCAAGATTACAATTGATGCTTTCCACACCAAGCGGCACGTGTGTACGACACAGTAATCATATCATCTTTTTGTTTAATATTGGCAAACAATAAGGATACGTAATGACTCATATAGTTTGTGTGTCTTACTGGAAAGCATCCAGTGTGAATTAACATTCTTATTGTTTGCCAATGTTAAATAAAGATGAAATGATCACTGTGTTAAATTGTAACTCTTGTACCAACTTGTGCCAGAAACTATCCAAGACAGAACGATACATTTTGTCGATTTGTATCACCAAATGGTGGAAACAGCATCCTGTGTTATCCATCGGTGCTTTCCACCAGCGAGAAATACCGAGGTATAACACAGTGATCATTTCATCTTCGTTTAACATTGGCAAACAACAAGGATGTAATGATGACTATTGTCATCTGTATCTCTTGTTCGAAAGCACCTGTATAATCTCTCGACCTTCGGGTTTCTTTACGATGCTCGAATTTAACAATACTAAGGTGTACAGCGATAGACATTGATAACGTAAAAGAAACGAAGTTCCGCTTCGAAACGACTGCGTCTTCTTGGGTCTGCCGTGGGGGGGCAATCCAATCTTAAGTAAACAATTTCAAAGCTCATCTTTGTGTTCACGAAGGTGTGCGATTCCATGGCCAGGTTTTTTTTATCCGGTCTAGTTGCAGTCCGATCGCACCGCACCGCATCGCGACACGGCGCGCCGGCGAAGAAGTGGCACAATTTTTTCGTCGTGGCCTTTACTCGAGTTAACGATTCTTTTTCATGAGGCCTGACCTCTTTACGACGACCACGGTTTCGGACACTAGTTTCCGCTGGTCGTTCCTCGGAGGATTGCGCCGCGTAATAGGGCTGCCCGAGTAGTTCTTTGTGTTCGATGTACACAACACTCGTTGTTCGGAATCAGACAGGCTCGCGAAGAGGTCACGTGCGTCGTCCGCACGTTGCGCATGAATTTTTCGCGTGAAACTTCCGTGTGGCAAAATAACACACCGGACACGGAGAGTCGCTCGAGCAACGCTCGAGTGGTCCACGAACGAATGGTTCGCGGGATGGATAATTAATGCGTGTCAAATTTGGCACGTACGCGATTCCTTCGCGGTTCTTTCGGAGCGGGTGCTTTCACTCCGTGCGCACGGTTCCACGTTATTGTTTTACCTCCGCCGCTTTCGTTCTGACAGACCGATCGAGCGACTTTGTCAAGACAAAGCGCGAATTGAATTTATTCTAATTACGGATTGTAATACGGCATAAGTGTAAATTAATATTAATAATATGATGTAGCGTGGAAAGGTGTAGGATGGAGCATGTAAATGTCGTACTATGGTTTAAATACGAGATAAAATGATAATAAAGCTATATAGAATACAAGTCACAAAGTGCAAATGCCAAGCAGAGCCAACATTAGATGTCCGTGTTATGAATTTGAATTCTTTATTAAACAATAAAATTCGTAAAGTCCGACTTCTCGCTCTTGGGTCGTCGCTCAATAATCAGAAAAATGAAAATATGGCTAAAATTTTGGAGATTAAAGCGAATATCGCAATCAAGTACATTAAAATAGAACAAGTATCTAGCTGAGATACGTAAGATACGAGTGTCAGCATTGGTAAATTTTTGGAAAAAAATTAACCGGCAGAGAGTGGAATCTCGTCAATTATTGGTAATTGAGTTTGTTAAAAATAAATGTGTTAAACATAACATATTTTATACAGAATAATGTTGGAAAATTAAATAGTACGATAAGTTTTATCCGCTTTACTTTTACGCCCTTTACCTTTCGAACTTCAAATTGGCGACTTCTCACGCGTTTAAGACTTCGAGAGAGAAAAAAAAATAAAGACTCACACCGCGAACATTTAATTAGCTGCTCACCCGGCCTCGCCGTGATAATTGCGATAAGCAAATTAGCCGCAACCCGTTGATCGCGTGCAATTACTTGTCGTGTGCGCGAGCTAATCGCATAAAATACACGCGGTAAACGGAGTCGTGTGTGTTTCGGATCGGTGATTACGATCGCGCGTAAGTGCCCATTACGCATTCGCGCCAAGTCGTAATAATCTGTTATTCCGCACATCTCTCGTAACGTAGTGTCATTCGCGGCTTTTTTTAACCTTCCGCGAGACAGCCGGTGTACGTCCTCTCGTCCATCTCGTTCGGCGGACAAGCGTGACGAGCGAAGAAAACGCGGGAACTCGCGTCGAGCTGAGGAGAAAAAGTTACGGGAGAACAAAGGAGAACGCCCGCGACAGCGAGTTGAAACCTTCACTCGTTCACAATCCGCCGACAGTTAATAATCGTATTTTCCATTTGCGTTTGTTTGAACGCATCCGCGGCCGTCCCTCGTAATTTCCCGCCACTGACGTTTTCATCTCCGACCTTCTACATCTTACACGCTTACGCGCCGCTTACCTTAAGCGGCGTCTATATACAGGAAATTTTAACGAGTAAAA